AAAGGGCTTTTGAAGAGGGTCCCACTATTTGAGGAGACAAGAAGTAGAGTCTTAACATCTGTTCACACTAAAGTTGAATTTCTTAATGGTCACGTGCTTTTTGGTAAACTTTTATAAAAAATCATTTTCAAATCGTTATATTTTGTGATCCGTGGACCTAATGGAGTTGAAGTCTAAAGATGGTAACCCAAGAAGGAATAGGAAGTGGCCCAGGAAGTCTAATTATAGGAATTATACATCTGCGAACCATTTCCAAGAATCTGTCCGTCGAAGCAACACAAAACGTGCTTTGAAGAGGAGAGTATAGCTTCTAGAATATTCTATTTATTTAATTTCATTTATTTATTAAGTTTTCTGTTCTTAGTTTTTTGTGGAAATTGGCAATGTGCTAATTTCCTTTAACGAGGCCAATAGATCAGGCCAACTTGGCCAACAATGTTGACTATTAAGGAGGGAAGTACTTGGCCATCAGTTCGGAAAAAAAGAAGACAAAATATTTGCGCAAATTTTTAAGACATTGAAAGGAGGCTGAAGGATTCGACACGTTTATGGAGGACGAAGGACAACGATGGGAAGTACGAAGGGAACGAGGTATGTAGGTGCCATGGAAGGACAAAGGAGATGAAGCTTAGAAGCCATGAAGCAGATGAAGATGAATGGACGTTAAGCACGGCGTTGAGGAATTAGACAGACAGGCCCAGAGACAGAGACAGGCCAAAAGACCAGGTCTCATAGCCAAATGACAAAAGATGATGACAGCGTGCCCGGCCATCTCGGGATGATTATAAAGAGGATAATGAATCTGACAATGAGCCGGTTGGTTTATATAACTTAAAATAGTAGAGGCACTTGAGAAAAAAAAGGGGGAATAGGTAGGTGAGCTATAGACATCTAGGAAACTATCTAAAGGTATAAATCTTCAGTAAAGGAGGGACTTCTAGGCAGGAATCTAAAACCTGGTACTTGTAGAGGTACAAGGTATACTTTTTCTTCAGGTTTTTCTTAAATAAAATATCTAATATTAATATATTTATTTTTTTTCTCTATAATTTATATTTATTTTTTTTCTTTTGCTAGTTTTTTGGCAGTGTAGCTTTTAGAAAATATAGCTCCTTTGACATGCAAATCAGGCAATTAAATCTGAAATTAAATCACAAGCTAATTGTTGTGACATAGTTTCTCACTGAATTAGTAGATTTTTTTGTAAATAATTTTTGTTTAATTTAATTTATAATTTTTTTTTTTTTTTATCAAAAAATTGTCAAATGAAATTAAGTTTTAAATTTTGACTGATGACTGGGAGGTGGGTGGCTGAGAGGCTGTGGTGATGCGTCTGTTGTTGATGCTAATGTTTTGTGCCGCACATTGTGCCACGCCCACTGACTCGCAGCCCTGCTGGCCTCCTCCTCCTCCCCCACTTCTGTGTGGATCATTCTCTCATGGCGTTTGACATAAAAAGCATAATTGATTACACACACACACATACAAACACACACACACACAACCGCAGGCCGCGAATCTCTCCCCCCTGACCCTGCCCCTTCCCCGCCCATCATCATCTTTGCCCACTTTTCTGGGTCTGTGTTAGAGGCAGCTTATGACGTTATTCAATTATGGCTTACTTAATGCGGAAAATTTGCTTTCATTTTGAACCGAAAAAATTGCATTTGCCTGCGGGCCAAATGCCATTAGAGGCAGGGTCATAAGCGTAGACGGCAGGCAGAGGCACAGGACGTGAGGGGGGTGTATGAGGATCCTCAGTGTTAGCCAAGTTTAAATGGCAAGGCGGGAGGGCGGATGTGAGGGTGCACAGGACCACCACCCCCGTTAATGCGTTCGAATGCCAGCCAAAGGCAGGACTCTCGACAAGTGGACCCAGGGACACATTTCAGTGGCAAAGCGAATGTGAGTCGCAGTGCCAGGATATGGAAGGATATGTGCCGCACAAATTAACCCAATTTCCCCACAAATTTAACTATTTAGTTTTAAATTATTAGGATGGCTTACAATATTATTATTAAAATTAATTATTTAATATTTATTTTAAAGATTTGGGAAGGGATTTTCCATGAATATTGGGTTTTTCCCTTGGAAATGCGGTTTTCCCTTACTGCGATGTCTATATCTTCCCCAATTCTCATCCGATCCTCAAGCGGAGTACCTTTATCGATTTCTGGATCGATTTGCTACCATTCTGCATCCAAATCCCGAGACGAAATATTTTTCCCATTTTTTGTCCATTTTACCTGAGGGGACCCCTTGGAAATGCGGTTTTTTCCTATAGGGTCCACGGTGATGGCTATATCTTCCCCAATTCTCATTCGATTCTCAAGCGGAGTACCTTAAACGATTTCTAGATCGATTTGCTATCATTCTGCATCAAAATCCCGAGACAAAATATTTTTTAGATTTTTTGTCCATTTTTCCTAAGCGGACCCCTTGGAAATGCGGTTTTCCCCTATAGGGTCCTCTGCGATGGCTATATCTTCCCCAATTCTCATCCGATTCTCAAGCGGAGTACCTTTATCGATTTCTAGATCGATTTGCTACCATTTGCATCAAAATCCTGACACAAAATATTTTTTAAATTTTTTGTCCATTTTTTTTCCAATTTTTTAGAAGCTATACTCTCCCCTTCAAAGCACGTTTTTTGCTGCATCGACGAACAGATTCTTGGAAATGGTTCGCAGATGTATAATTCCTGGAAATGTTGTCACTTAGACTTCCTGGGCCACTTCCTATTCTTCTTGGGTTACCATCTTTAGACTTCAACTCCATCAGGCCCACAGATCACAAAATAATACGATTTGAAAATGATTTTTTATAAAAGTTTACCAAAAAGCACGTGGCCATTAAGAAATTCAACTTTAGTGTGAACAGATTTAAGACTCTACCTCTTGTCTCCTCAAATAGTGGGACCCTCTTCAAAAGCCCTTTAGCCATACGGAAATATCAGAGGGATCAGCAGATAACAAGGGTCTGGTCTCTCTAAGATTTTACTATAAAAGGCGGAGCATTTGGGATCTCAAACTCATTGTTCGTTCGTTTGTCGAACAGTCCAGTCGAAAGCTCTTATTTGTTTTTTAAGTTTTTTTTTTTTATTTTTGAAATGTTTTTTTTTATTTGAGTTATTTAACATTGCGCCTTCTTTGTTGATGCTGGAGGTTGTGGTTGTGGCCACTTATTATTTTTATTATTTATCATTTTTTGAAATTATTTTATTATTTATTAACATTCGATCTATGTTGTCGTTGGAGATGATCATGTGCGCGATATCATTTCATTCTCCAGTTTATTTTTATTTTTTTCTGTTTTTTGAAGATTTTTTTCCTTATATTTATTTTTTTAATTAATTTTTAAACTCGATAAACCATTTTTTTCACTATTATGTACTGAATATTAATTTAGACCGATCTAATCCCAAAGGAATATTTTTTGGGGAATTTTTTTTTTTCATACTCTCCATTCGTTGATTTTAATTTTTTTCAATATAAAACTTCTCTGGCGTCTTGCTTCTAGCCGGTTGAAAAATATACTGATGCTTTCTGTTTTTTGAAGATTTTTTTCCTTATATTTATTTTTTGAATTATTTTTAAACTCGATAAAAAATTTTTTTTCCCTGTTATGTACTGAATATTAATTTAGACCGATCTAATCCCAAAGAAAGGAATATTTTTTGGGGGAATTTTTTTTTCATACTCACCAGTCGTTGATTTTTATTTTTTTTAATATAAAACTTGTCTGGCGTCTTGCTTCTAGCCGGTTGAACAATATACTGATGCTTTCTATACACATTCCGCCTTAAATAGGCAGGTATTCGACCTCACAGCCTACTACGAGACTAAATTTTTCCCCAAAAAACCAAAAATTGAATATTGACAGAAAATCTGGTTCTGCTCTTTAAAGCTGCCAGATATCAGAAGTCTGTTCTTAAAACTCAATAGGAGCTTTTATAATCTGTATATGGCCGATTCAACACTACATAGTACATGCTATACATCGAATACGATCTTCTGAGTATATTGTAACCATCGAAAATGTTTGCAAAACATCCAGCCATCTCTCCAATAACATAAAATATTTATTAACAGAAAAACAAAATCTAAGTTAAATTAAATTTATGGGTTTTTTCTGACCATGCTGGCGATTACGAGCCAATTACTTTTATGTCTTTGTAGTTACTTGGATTATTAGTGACTGGATCTTTGATGTTTAATGTTGATTTAAATTTTACGGGGTACAGGATTGTTAGTATGATCCACGGGGGGAGGAATATACCAGACGCGACTTATCAAATTATTATTGTCAGACTTTTGAAATTTTATTAAACAAGAAGCACAGTCGTCGAACTTGTTGGAAGTCTTTCTGGATCGGCAGCATTTTTCGAATTCCTTGTCCAATTTAAGGAATGCCTGATGGCTTTTTACCATAGAGTTTTTTGAATAAACGAACTTGCATTCCCTTAAAAACCCACTATTCTTATCGACATCTGCCACTTTTAGACTCGAAGCACTCAAAACGAACAGCAGAGCTACAATAACACTTCCTCTATAACACACTTCTGCAACACACTTCCAATAAAACATAACAAAACCACGGAAATATCCATATGGCCCCCGCAAAGCCTATAGCTCTATATATATCATCCGATTCCCAAGCGGGATATTTTAGACGATTTGTGGAAGCATTATTTATCACTCTGCATCAAAATCTGGGACGGAAATATTTTTTAGATTTTTTTAAGGCTATAGCTGCCTATAGGTGGCTTTGCTGTGTCCTTCAGCTCTCTTGTATTACCTTTAACAATTCCCCCCTCATCTAAATAAAGTCAAAACCAAGTTCTTATTACTTTTAAAATTTGAGTCCTGAACAGATACATTCCTAAAACACCCCGATTTAGAGGCCAAATAGTTTTCTCTAAAATTTCGTCAATTTTTTTCTTGGCTTGTCAGATTTTAGTAAGTTTCCAATAATTTTCCACAAGTTCTGAAGGTGCCTGCAGTGAAAGACTAGTCTCCAGGATTAAAGCTTCAATCTTCTTCGTCGGAGGACATCATGGGGGACATGTCGTGGGCCTGGGCGCGGACGATCCTGTTGTAGTCGCGGGGCCGCCACTTCATCAGGTAGACGGCCCGCATCGCGACCGCGTCGTTCATGTTGGGCATGTAGAGCAGCTCCTGGATGCACGTCATCAGGCACTTGAGGGTGATGCCGGGCTGCCAGTCCTCCTCCAGAAGCGGGTACTTCACGATACCCGACGGATACACGTTCGGGTGCAGCACGGTGGGCACGAACTTGCACTGCGGTGGCTTCGTGGGGTACTCCTCGGTGAAGGTCACCTCCAGCCAGAAGATTCCGCCCTGCCAGGGGGTGCCCTTCTTGCCGGGCACGCCGCAGTCCCACAGCATGTAGTTGAGGGTCCCGTTCTTGTTCCTCCGCGGATGGGCCTCGTATCCCTTGAGAGGATTGCGCCGCCACTGCTGGCGCTCCTTCTTCAGGAGAGTTAGGGCGTCCTCAGTCATATTTTGTAATAATTTGTATTCTTTTCTAGCTTTTCTTAGTTCAAAAGTGAAAAACTAGTGTAGAAAAATAATTTCCCAAAATTTATACAAATTTATTTTTGAATTTCTGTTTAGCTTTCGTTTTTTTTTTTGTAAACCGATAATTTTTTTTTGGTGTTCACCGATCGAAGTTCCGAATGAGACTGATGATTGTAGGGGGGAGCCCTTAGCTTATGACTTTGACAGGTATTTTTTTGAAATTCCAAGGATTACTTGGTGGATTTTTCATAAAAATAAAGCCTACTGTTGTCCATCATACCTCTATCATTGCCTCATACTTTGGTAGACTCGTAGAAGCCTCTTTTGGGATATCTCTGACAATTTAAATAAAATCAAAAATGCGTTCCCCCATTTTTAATTGAAATTGCACTAAAACCAAAAAAAAAAACGAACCAGAAACCAGAGCCCGAATGCCCAGAAGGTATTCTCGGATCTCCCATTCGAATGCGACTGGGGATATGCTGCCCAGATCGAGTCAAAAGTTCATGCATAGTTTAGTTGCCATAGTCGAAGAATGCCATAAGGGGGGGTGGTCCAAACCGGACCGGAAGTTGTGAGCCAGGAACAGGAAGTGACCCGCACACACCGCCACAAGTGTGGGATAATGTGTCTGCCCGCAGAGGCAGAGGGCAAGAGTGTGTGTGTGTGTTGGTTTTTTGGCCGACTTTTTGGGGAATGGTGCTTAGTAAAATGTTTTAATTATAATGAAATTTTCGTTGAACAATTTGTTGTTGCAAGGTTGTGGGTGCTGGTAGGCGGTAGGCGGTAGGCGGTAGGCAGGGGCTGTAGGCAGGGGCGTGGCAGTAAGGAAGGCCCAAATCCGGCAACATTAATGTAAAACAAGAAACTTTTGTGCTGTTGGCAGGGCTGGTCAGTGTGTGTGTGGATTGAGGTTTAAATTTTATATAAAATATAATTGCAAAGAATATAGGACTTTGTTTTAATATTTTTTCCTTTTCAATATATGGCCTTAAATTTATGATTCAAATATTTATTAAAAAATTTAAAGTTTGAAATTGGAAAATAGTTACAAACAGGTTAGTTTATTTAAAAAGTTTTTAAAGACATATAGTTCGGATATTTAATGGTTTTAATTATGAATATTATAATTCATATTTAGATTACATTTTAATATATAATTTTTAATTAAAAACTAAGTATTTTATCTTAAGAAATTGTTTTTTTTTATGTTTAAGGGCCTCATTAATTTTTAGATGATAGTTTTTTATAATCTATATGTTTTCCTTAAAGCCTGAAGTAAACTATTTTTTTTTACGTGCCTCTCTATGCATATATCTACATATATAGTATATAGGACGCTGCCGCATGTAGATCCGTTAGATCCGTTTGATCCGTCTAACGGCTTAGATCCGTTAGAGAGCATAGATCCAATAGTAAAGCTTAAGAAAAGAAAACTAAAAAAGATAAACATAAAAGCCATGCCTTTAATAAATTTCCCATTTCTTTAATTAAATGTAAATTCCATTTCCAATTTCTTAACTAAAACCTTTTATTTATTATTTTATTTATTTATTATTTAACTTATTTTTTCTCTTCCTTTTAAGTAATTAAATAACAAACAAACAACAAAAAAACAAGTCCTTTCATTAAATGAACTTTTTTTTTTGTTTTTGAATTTGTTGTGAAATTATATCCTTTTGTAGTCCTTGTTTATTTGTGTAAGCAGTGGGCGTGGCCCTTGGACTTGGACCAGGCCCATGTCAAACAAGACAACACCCACACAAACACATACGCAGAACAGCGAAAAGACACACACACACACACACACACTATAAACACACACACACACACACAGTTGACAATACGAGTGGCAATTATTTAACTTGATTTATTTGCTTCAGTCAACATGTGAAGAGTTGGTGGGTGGTGGAGTGGTGGAGTGGGCGTGGCTCTCAGATGTGGCATAATGAAGAGGTCGCGGGAAATGGTCGGGGGGGGGGGGAGGGGTTGGGAAATTTAATTAGAGCATCCTCCACTGGCCACTTCACCTGGAACTGGAAACAAAACCGGCAAACTGGCCGGAACATCAACAGAAATATCAACACAAACGGAAAACTCAACTTTAATGACAAAACAAACCATTCAGGGCAGCTCTCCAGGGTCCACGGGCTGGATGACAGTCATAAACATCTACTCAAGAGATGGGGGGGGGAGGGGGAAGCACTAATAGAGGAAGGACCTACAAGAGGGACCTAAAGGCCACCAGGGCTATAAGGGCTATAGAGTATCTGGTAATACCTTGGGAATAAATTAAATATTATTTAATTATTTTATTTATTTGTGTGTTTTTTTTTTTTAATAATTATTTTTTATTTTTTTTAATATCCTTGCAAAAATATCCTTATTCAAATAAGGATACCCACTCCTAAATAGTCTCCTTGAAGCCATTGTGCTCTCCACTCACCTGATTTGCATTTAAACTTCCTTAATCCGTGAAACTGTTACACAGAGCCTGGAAACTGGTCCTGGCTTGGCAGGATATCCTCGAGGATCCTGCTGTTGCAGGACAACAACACTGCCATCGCTATGACAACCATTTTGGTCAAGTGTCTCATTTTGTGTATGAAGCAAACAAGCTTTAGGAAACATAGAAAAAAAGGACACAAGCTGTAGCTTCTTCCTTTCAGCTTCTGTCAATATATATATATATATATATACTTTGGGGGGGAGTCGAAGGGGAGATACCCTTGCAGTTAAGTGGTGGAGATATCGGTTATCGTTGGTCATGGGATTTTCATAATTAAAATGATCCTTATAGGCACCTAAGTATCAGACTTTAAAAGAGTTCCAAGCTTGTATCTTCATTATCATGATCGCTGAACTATATCGCAGCTACAGGATATAGTCACCCGATCCTTAAGAAATTCTCAAATTCATATTATATGACCAAAAATAGTATCTAAAATTATTATACCCTCTGAAAGGGTATAAAAAAGTGAAAATAAATGCTGGAAAAAAACGTAGAACTTGAGCTGCAAAAATGTGCAAGCCGCACCTGAAAGACAGCCAAAGGTAAGGGGGGGTAAAGGGGGCTACCAGGGGCAGCGATAACAAGTTCCACGCGAACGGATCCTGTCCAAGCGGAAACGAGCCAAACTGCGCCTCATCATAACAAGCCTCTAGAAAAAAAAAAAAAAACAAGAAACCCAAGGAATCGCATTGCAATTCGCATTAAAAGGAAAAATATTGTAAGCAGGCTGATAGAGAGAGAGAGAGCGGGAGAGTGTGGGGGGGTTACAAAAAAAAGGGGGGGTTAACGGGCTGCAAAAGGGGTTAAGAGGGCTATACTAAGAGGGGCCGGGCAGGAGGCCACCTGCTCAAGTGGATATCAAATGGCCCTGGCATTAAGCCATTAATGTCAGTCTCGAGTTCCTCAAAGTCGGTTAAAGCCACGAGACTGCAATTTGCAAAACGAAAGAGATGCCAATTATTAATTGGAATTAAAAGGACCAGAGAGGTATTAGATTAAGGGGTTTTAGTTTAAAAGGATACAAGTTATACAAATGGATAATTAGGAGGTGGCTTTTTATAGATAGATATTGGAGGGTAATAGTTTGGGGAGGCATTTTTGGTTAAATTAGATAATGAGACTTCAAGAGGTATGTTTTTGGACTTTAAAATGCTATGACTCTTGTAAGCCATTGGTGGCTTTTATTATTTATTTTATTTTATTTATAATTAGGGCTTAGTTAAGGTCTATAGGTATATAGTTTAGGGAAAATGTTTCACTTTGAAACAAAATTAGAAGCTTTAAAAGCTCAATTTTACGGTAAAAGGGTTCAAAAAATCGGATTAACGATGAAATATAATTTTTAATAAACAACGAAATTGGTAGAGGATTAAAATTAAAATTATGAGGAATAAGTAATAACTTATAAAGACTTAGGCCAGTTAAGTTTACTACATTTTATTTAATTATTTATTCAGAATCGGTTCTCGGTTTCCTTTTTGACCAATAATATGTATAAAGATTGATATTACAATATTAGATATTATGTTAACGAAAAGAGGGTTGACTATAAAAGAAATAATTTCTGTAGAAAATAATACTAATAATTAATTACTAAAAATACTAGTAATACCTTTGCCAAATTTTTCAATTACCTCAACTATTAAAACAATTTCCAAATCGAAGTCTATAAGATATCTTTTAAGTTCACTTTCCTAATATTTCTAGAATAAGAAAATATTTCTTTTCATTAAGAAATCAAATAGGAGCTTTACTCAAGTAATACTTTAATCTTTAAATATTAATTTTAGACCCTTTTAAGGCCTCTCTAATTCTATCAATTCTCGAACATAAAACCAGTATCTTAAAATCCCTTTAAACCTCCCCTGAATAATATATATATTTTAATTTCCCCATAAAAAGTATATTTTTTTTTGGTTTGGTTTCCGCAACTCGAAACCCCAAACCCTTTTATTTCTTTTCTTGAGATTTCTTTCAACAAATACATGTGTGATGTGTGTATGTGTGTGACAGGATGAGGTCCTTCTCAGGATAGCTAGCTAGCTAGCTAGGCAGTTGAATGTTGAATGTGTCGCCATGAACTCGTATAATTCATGGCGGCTTAGTCGAACCGCATCGAATGGGGCAATAACCCGTCACATAGACACTTGGGATAATCTCGTACAAGATAATCAATTCTCTGGCTCGTAATTTGTCACTCGTGCCCCCCAGTTTTCTTCTCTGGCAGCGCTTTAAACAGCTTATAAATACAAAAGAAATGAAACATGGCCGCAAAATGTGTGTCCTTTAGTAGCAGTCGCAGTCTCAGTCGCAGTCGCAGTCTGGGGCGCACAGTGCGTATGAGCAATAAATCGCAAGCTAGAAACGAGAAACGAGAAAGAGATGACATTCAGGGGGGTTAAAGGGTGCTTCTAGAAAAATGCCAAAAGAAAAATCCTAAATAAGTAGGCACAAAGACAAAAGGCAAGGAGAAAAAACCCGTGGAAAATGGGGGAAAACGGTCGAGGTAAAAACACAAATCACAGACGGCAGCTGTGACAGAAATCAACTGCCAAGGCGAAGGCAAATGGCAAAATGGTTGGCACTGGAAAAAAT